GCACACAGGACACAGTGTCCCGGGGAACTATCTGCAGTTTCCTTCCTTGCAGGGTCTGTGGGGAAAACAGGAGAAAGAGGAGGCTGTGCTCCAGGGCTACGCTCAGCCTCGCTCCCAAGCATCCCATCCCAGGGCAGGCACAGCCTCTGGGGGAACGTGTCCATATGGCACAGCACCAGGCAGGAGGCACTGCCTGCCAGCACCTTTGCAGGCACAAGGGACTGAGGAGTTTCCCCCCAGCCAGCCGGGGCCAGCCCAGCACTACACATATTGCTTCTTGGAGGCTGAGCTCCCGGGACGGCTGCACAGCTTCTCCTCCGGGGCAGAGGCTTCGGCAGCCGGGGGGGCGTAGGGGTCTGACAGGGGCCTGCTGCCACTGCCCAGTGCCAGGTTCTCCTCGTTGTGGTAGTTTGCCCAGTTCTGCTCGCTGGAGAGCTTGTTGTAGGTCTGGTAGGATGGCATGTGGCTCTCAGCCATGGGCAGGAATGGGTAGTGCTTGGGTGCGTAGGGACCCGAGACCACGTCGTCGGCAAAAGTGTCCTTGTTCAGGGCACCTGCCCTCGATGCCTTCTTGATGTTGCTAAATAGGCTCTTGCAGCAGAGGTGGAAGAGCTCCAGGAGGTTCAAAAAAAACATGAAGATGATGAAGATGCTCTTCTCGGTGGGGCGGGAGATGAAGCAATCCACCTGATGGGGACAGGGGTCCCTCTTGCACACATAACGGGGCACCATGGAGAAACCATACAGGTACCACTGGCCAACTAGGAAACCTGCCTCAAAGATGCTCTTGCAGATCACACTCATGATATACGTCCACATCAGTGCCCCTCGGATCTTGAGCCGTCCATCCTCTGTCATGTAGATCTTGGACATCTTCTTCTCCACAGCTGCCAGAGCCTGCTCAACTTTTGGGTCTTTACTGTGGATAGCCCGAAGATCAGTCTCCTGCTGCTTCAACTTCTCCTCCTTCCGAGAGAGATAGACAACGTGGCCGAGGTAAATCAGGGTTGGGGTGCTGACGAAGAGGAACTGGAGCACCCAGTAGCGGATGTGGGAGATGGGGAAGGCTTTGTCGTAGCAGACGTTGGTGCAGCCTGGCTGCTTGGTGTTACACACGAAATCCGACTGCTCGTCCCCCCACACGGACTCCCCCGCCAAGCCCAGGATGAGGATGCGGAAGATGAAGAGCACAGTGAGCCAGATCTTCCCGATCACCGTCGAGTGTTCCTGGACTTGGTCCAGAAGTTTCTCCAGAAAACCCCAGTCGCCCATCTTCTAGGGAGCCTGTGCCTCTGCCAGCAGAGAGGGGAGAACAGCCGCATCAATTCCCTGTTTCCATGCCGGGGAGCACAGGGCAGATGGGGCCACCTAAACCCTGTGCTTTCTGCTAGGAGAGTCCCAGCAAATCCACCGAGGAACGTCCCACACCTGCGGGAGGGAGGAAGGGAGGGATCCCAGCACAACTTGGGAGCCTCGGAGGGCTCCTCCTACACCC